TGGGAAAAAAATCGGAATCGAGTCATTATCGCGAATATTTTTTCTGCCAGTTTTTTGGTCGCCGCTGTCCGACAGCTAATTATGATTCCGTTCATTTACTACTCATTTTTAATTGATTGGAAAGATTTAACATTCCAAATACATTACAAGTCACCACTTTTGTATTCACATATTTGACTAGCGTATTATGACGTCATCAAGTTGTCTTTTATTTTGTTATTATTTATTTTTTTTGCCATTTATTTTTGTGCATATAAAAGAAACTTGAAGAAAAGAAGGCTAGAAAGACTCTATGGGGAATCCATATTAGGTGGATGTACTGTAATATCTTATCTGCTGTTTTTCCTTTTTTACTTCAATTTATTTGGCCAGAACTGATCTGCTTGGTTTTTGGAGGGTTTTCTAGTTTTTCAAATTTCTAGCGGCATAACGAAGTAACTGAAGTAGTAGGTAATAAACGTACAGTGAATGATTGATTTCAGTAAAATGGTGTTCTAAGTGGTATCACAAAATTTCAAAATGTAAACCGCTATACGATCAAATTTGAAAGTTTTTTATGTTGTAGTTACGTATGTTTTTGTACTTATGTTATTTTCTATCCTAATTTCAGCTTCGCCCGCAAAAGAAGCCTGAAGGCTCGCCAGTAAACAACGTGCCGAGCAGTCCACAACAAGCCATGAACATGCATCTTGGAGGTAATTGATCAGATCGTGACTTTGGAACATTCCTTCTGATGGGGAAGGGGTTTGCACGCTGCTTCTGTAGCTCACTCAAGTGCTTCTCTGTGGACACCCAAGTGGAATGTCTGAGATCACTGCCTGAGATCTCAAGGTGAACTACCTTACCTGGACGGGTTAGAAGCCACCGAAGGAGATTGGACCATTATCTCTAGCTTGGGTTACTCGCTAGTTGTGGGTTAGCCAGTATTCCCTTAGCTGAACTACGCTCGCTTACTTTATCGTAGTCCTTATAGCGCGATCACTTAGTTATCTACTGTATTTATAGCACTTGGTGGTAATTATCAAAAAGCATGTAGTACCGAACTGGAGGCTGGAAACATTTGGTCGTAATCACGTTGCACCCCTTTCAAAGGAAGATTGTCACGAGCACTAATCATTGAAAAGTCTCGTGCTTGGCCATTTGGAACGAATGTGATCAAATTTTATTGCTACAGTACTTTGCTATAAATTTTGAGACAAGTGATGGGCCCCTTATCAGAAACAATGGATAAAATTAGCTCGGGTCAGTGAGAATTTACTCGATCGACAACGGGACAGAAATGAGGAACGGCCATACAAGGTTCGGGATCGGATCCCGGGTAGGCTTTTGCTCTGGTCAGAGGAATCCTAATTTTTTTCGTTCGGGCAATGGCAATTGGGTGAGCCGGCTTAAGAGGCCCGGGATATTCCTACTTTAGTTGGTTTTTCCTATCGCATAATTGCAAGCATTGGGGTCGAGTGCGTGGCGCATGCTGTTTAGTGGGAAATCTGTTTCCTTCACTGTTTATCTTAGAATTTAGTGGGAGCTGTTATTTCTATGAATAAATGTTCCAGGCGCGTTCCCGTTCTCATTGGTGCCGTCGACATCGACAGCATCGTCGCAGGCGTCGGTCATCATGAGTTCCTCAGATTCAGCTCGTGACGATGTAACACCACCGGCTGGAAAGAGGATGAAAACCGAAGAGGATGAGGAAAAATCTGCAAGGTAATTACCCGTTAACGAGTTTTCTTTACCCCATCCAATTGAGAATTTATTGAACGGATGATATTGGCGTATGGCGACTACCGTATCCCAATAATACCCCCATTAAATTGTACTTCGACACTGGTCGTGCTCATGGTGTGATTGGTTCTTTTTAAAATGGTACACTTATTCGATATGTCTCGTTGATTCGAAGAGATTGACAGGCTTTTATGATTAGAAGAAATATTTCGTCTTTGCGGCGCCATAGGACCAGCCATCAGAGACCAACGATGCATGAGATCGTTACGTTTAGTTGGTAGTGAATAATATGTCAAGAGAAAACGCTTATCAGATTGCTGTGAAAAGCAGTAAAATAGTAATTTGAAACTGTTCTCTGATGGTGATAAGAGAGGGTTTGAAATTTCAATGCAATGGGCCCACGAAGTGAAGGTATTAAACGAACTGATAAATGAGCTGATCATTTCAATGCTCCATGACGTAAGCTTGTTCTTTACGGCTTAGACTACTCTGTCCTGGTCCTAATTAAGTGTGGGAATCACAGCATCTGTGGGGATTCGGTTCAGCAAGGGGAAAAGTAGCAGAGGCAATCTTACACTTCTACCTCCGTTCCATGACCGTCTCAGGTAGGCTATTTGTGGTGCAGCCTAATCAGAACCCTGTTGGTGCCTAGAAGGAGTCGTAGCAGATATTTGCATAGGCCAAATACCGATTGAAACCGTTAGTTATAATTCCGGATGCTGTTGAGAAGCATGGCGTATTCCAAAAGAATCGTATATCGCCAACTGCTCGAATTTCCATTGTTACTTGTCTGTTTAGTGCAAATGGATTAAGAAAAGTGCATTTTTGAATAAAAGAAATTCTAGAGTATAAGCCGATTATAAAATATTGAAATAGCACAATGAAGTGCCTTAGGTGGCGTATTCTGTGATGTCTCTAAAAGTACTAAATTCGTACGTTTACGGTAGGCTTCGTTGTTGTTGTCAAAGGGACGGCCAGTTTCGATTTTTTGAAATTTCTTGCAGTTTTTATCTCTAGCTGGGCGCCTTACAGCCACTGTCATTCCGAATTATCATCCTAACGTGACTTACATTACTACTTTATTCAACTGGAATCCATAATAAAACCCCGTTTGACTCTGATAGCTGATGCAAGCGTTTTAAAATGCTGATAAGAGAAGTCTTTGTTGAGAAAATTTTTAATGATAACGAGGTCAACTATTTGTGATTTGAGACACGGAACTATGATTTTTGGTTTTAGCCGGATGCAATGAGGAAAGGGTTAATTTGAAAAAAAAAATCAAAATTTAACTAGTTTCATACATGGTCATAGAAGCTGGTCATAGAAGGGTTTCAGAGAAGCTGCTCCCACAACAGCAACATCGACTTTCAAATGTAGTGAATGCGACAAAGCCTTCAAAAGTATGGAATTCCTGGAACATCATAAACTTATGCAACATAGCGGATTTTCACAACAGTAAGTTCGCTTTTTCTAATAAATATTGGAAACTGGACTGCGACCAGATTTGATCTGGCATAGTTTGGCCCAAGGAATCGTCTTTCCTTCCTACTTCGTCTTCCGGACCACAGAAAGTTGTAGAAGTGGTGAACTTTGCGCATTATATTGCACTAAATCTTAAAAAAAATCCTGAATTTTTGTCGGGCCGCTGAGCTTGAAATAGGCTTGCAGCGTATCCTAACAGCGGTAATTTCAAAAGGGAATACTAGCATATAAAACGAAGTTTTTTTCCTTGCCAAGTAGTGCTACAGCAGTTGCGATCGATCAAAATGCGCGTTCTCCGAGCTGGGTTTTGGCCACGCCCCTCGGCTATGAACACTGTGGCGAAGTGCAATTTCCAATGCGATTTTGTTTACCTAGCAACTGTAATTTGAACTCTCTGCGTCTGAGCACGGGCAAAACTTTTCCACCAATCAATTCCCAATTACGATTTTCTAATATCGATTTTTCAGATTACTTACCGGTTTGCTGCCACAAGGCTTCCCATCGTTGCCGTTTATGCTCCCTGGTGGACTGCCACATCAGTTCCAGATGCCTGATATGGATTCACTGAATGCAATGAATACGGTAAGTTCAATGGTTTCCAGAATGGTAGTACGGTAGTTTGCCATACTGTAGTTATTGATCAATGTGGTCTGTGATTGATTAATGTATTTTTAGCCAAAACAACCGGGTACAGTGAAACGCCAGTACTCGTCTAACGGGAAGAACTATTGCGATTTGTGTAACAAAGAGGTTGGTTTTTGTTTGTTTGAACTAATAGGAGCTTTTTGTTTTAAAAAATCGATTGAGGGCGAAAATTATTGATTGATTGGAAATCATTGCAGGTGTGTAACAAATACTTCTTACGTACACATATGCTGAAAATGCATGGTATAGTGATCGATGAGAATAAGACTGTGATCGCCAATATTGATACATTGGAAAAGGAACGTATGGGAACCCTGTCGTTCAGGTGAGCTTGTGGGTGAAATGTATTCTTCAGGACTGGTCTAGATGATCTGGACCACAGATAGCTATTGATTTATCGATCTGGTCAGGAGCTGAGATTTTAGAATTTACAGATGTGACATATGTCATACGGAGCACAAATCCCGACATCTGCTTCGACAGCACAAGCAGGACGTTCATGGTGTGGTGCCTTTATCGACGCCATCGAATAGAAGTGAGTTTTTTTTTCCTAGAAGTTCAAAGTCTGCTGTCAATTATAAAGTAGGAGGATGGTTTAGTGATTAGTTTTATTTTCTGAAGCGTGCATGGACCACGAGATCATTCCTAGCCCTCGGCAGTTCAGCCCTACATAAACCTTCCCTTTGTGCTGGTCGATGGAATTCAGGAACTCAAATTAGGACACGGACATAGCGCGAAACCCAGCTGTCTGGGCAGTAGCACATTCAATGAATCCATAACTTAGCGTGAATTGAGGGCATGGCGCTTTCTGGTTGACAGGGCCGGGCTAAAATGGAATGAGGCTGAGTATAGCTCTGATATTGTCGTAAGGAAAACTTGCCAGTAATCTGTTTATTGATGAGGTTGGGACAGAGATTTTTCAGGATCCAGTTTTTAAAGTCTAACTTACACCTCGCGTTTGTTATGTTTACTTAATGCGTCGGAATGAGCGGAACTGTTTTTAATAAGCACCATTTTACGATAAGCGACCTAGATGGGTTAAGAGTCGAGTGCGTGAAAGAACAGCCTCCGATAGAGCGCTATAGATTTATTATTATTATCTGTCTGAATTTTTCGATTTTCAGAACCGTCCACAATGTCATCTCCGGCGATTGGCGGTGGCAGCGGTTCCATCGGCAGTGATGAGAAGCTCGAAAAATGTCCATTATGCGAACGGCGTATGCCAGCCTCGAATCTTACCTCCCATATCCAAAATGAACATACCGGAGGTGGTGGGATGTCGATGACCCAGGCTCCACCGGCATCGCCCACGTTAGAATGCAAATTCTGCCCGACAACGTTCAAAGATCAAATGGAATTGCATCTTCATCAAATTAATCAACATACCGTCGAATTGTTGCAACAATCACAGCACACCGACAC